GAAGCCCAGCATCACTGGCACCTGTTCCTATTGTAGGCAATCCATAGCCGACGTAGATTCGAGCTCAGTATACTCCAGAGGTAGCTAGAGCGTTGAGGCTCTCATTACAGCTACGGAGTTGATTATCTGACAGTCGATCAACAAAGGTAACTTTTGAACATTGCAAAGTAGGAGGGACTACAGAGCAATATGCCTGGTGGAAGAAACCAAGGCAGAGGCGGTCGAAGTGGCCGTGGAGGAAGATCTGCACAGCAGACTGGTCGGACAGTGAAGTCGGACATTCGTGATATCGAACACGGACGGGAGTACGGTTCGAGTACTTACAGAGATGGATAAGTATTGAAGATAGATCCAGATCTGTGACTAGTTCGTGAAGAACATGTGCGTATGTGCTTTATACGCCGCGACAGCTGGTGAGAGCTGACGCAGGTTGCTTCCGGAAGAGATTTTTTGTACCTGCTTGTGGAGATCATTGTTGATCGACTTCTGGCAAGAATAACAGTAGAATAAGATCTAATAGGAAGTGGTGAGACTGTTCATCCGCAGGTAGAAGCCCAGCATCACTGGCACCTGTTCCTATTGTAGGCAATCCATAGCCGACGTAGATTCGAGCTCAGTATACTCCAGAGGTAGCTAGAGCGTTGAGGCTCTCATTACAGCTACGGAGTTGATTATCTGACAGTCGATCAACAAAGGTAACTTTTGAACATTGCAAAGTAGGAGGGACTACAGAGCAATATGCCTGGTGGAAGAAACCAAGGCAGAGGCGGTCGAAGTGGCCGTGGAGGAAGATCTGCACAGCAGACTGGTCGGACAGTGAAGTCGGACATTCGTGATATCGAACACGGACGGGAGTACGGTTCGAGTACTTACAGAGATGGATAAGTATTGAAGATAGATCCAGATCTGTGACTAGTTCGTGAAGAACATGTGCGTATGTGCTTTATACGCCGCGACAGCTGGTGAGAGCTGACGCAGGTTGCTTCCGGAAGAGATTTTTTGTACCTGCTTGTGGAGATCATTGTTGATCGACTTCTGGCAAGAATAACAGTAGAATAAGATCTAATAGGAAGTGGTGAGACTGTTCATCCGCAGGTAGAAGCCCAGCATCACTGGCACCTGTTCCTATTGTAGGCAATCCATAGCCGACGTAGATTCGAGCTCAGTATACTCCAGAGGTAGCTAGAGCGTTGAGGCTCTCATTACAGCTACGGAGTTGATTATCTGACAGTCGATCAACAAAGGTAACTTTTGAACATTGCAAAGTAGGAGGGACTACAGAGCAATATGCCTGGTGGAAGAAACCAAGGCAGAGGCGGTCGAAGTGGCCGTGGAGGAAGATCTGCACAGCAGACTGGTCGGACAGTGAAGTCGGACATTCGTGATATCGAACACGGACGGGAGTACGGTTCGAGTACTTACAGAGATGGATAAGTATTGAAGATAGATCCAGATCTGTGACTAGTTCGTGAAGAACATGTGCGTATGTGCTTTATACGCCGCGACAGCTGGTGAGAGCTGACGCAGGTTGCTTCCGGAAGAGATTTTTTGTACCTGCTTGTGGAGATCATTGTTGATCGACTTCTGGCAAGAATAACAGTAGAATAAGATCTAATAGGAAGTGGTGAGACTGTTCATCCGCAGGTAGAAGCCCAGCATCACTGGCACCTGTTCCTATTGTAGGCAATCCATAGCCGACGTAGATTCGAGCTCAGTATACTCCAGAGGTAGCTAGAGCGTTGAGGCTCTCATTACAGCTACGGAGTTGATTATCTGACAGTCGATCAACAAAGGTAACTTTTGAACATTGCAAAGTAGGAGGGACTACAGAGCAATATGCCTGGTGGAAGAAACCAAGGCAGAGGCGGTCGAAGTGGCCGTGGAGGAAGATCTGCACAGCAGACTGGTCGGACAGTGAAGTCGGACATTCGTGATATCGAACACGGACGGGAGTACGGTTCGAGTACTTACAGAGATGGATAAGTATTGAAGATAGATCCAGATCTGTGACTAGTTCGTGAAGAACATGTGCGTATGTGCTTTATACGCCGCGACAGCTGGTGAGAGCTGACGCAGGTTGCTTCCGGAAGAGATTTTTTGTACCTGCTTGTGGAGATCATTGTTGATCGACTTCTGGCAAGAATAACAGTAGAATAAGATCTAATAGGAAGTGGTGAGACTGTTCATCCGCAGGTAGAAGCCCAGCATCACTGGCACCTGTTCCTATTGTAGGCAATCCATAGCCGACGTAGATTCGAGCTCAGTATACTCCAGAGGTAGCTAGAGCGTTGAGGCTCTCATTACAGCTACGGAGTTGATTATCTGACAGTCGATCAACAAAGGTAACTTTTGAACATTGCAAAGTAGGAGGGACTACAGAGCAATATGCCTGGTGGAAGAAACCAAGGCAGAGGCGGTCGAAGTGGCCGTGGAGGAAGATCTGCACAGCAGACTGGTCGGACAGTGAAGTCGGACATTCGTGATATCGAACACGGACGGGAGTACGGTTCGAGTACTTACAGAGATGGATAAGTATTGAAGATAGATCCAGATCTGTGACTAGTTCGTGAAGAACATGTGCGTATGTGCTTTATGCGCCGCGACAGCTGGTGAGAGCTGACGCAGGTTGCTTCCGGAAGAGATTTTTTGTACCTGCTTGTGGAGATCATTGTTGATCGACTTCTGGCAAGAATAGCAGTAGAATAAGATCTAATAGGAAGTGGTGAGACTGTTCATCCGCAGGTTGAAGCCCAGCATCACTGGCACCTGTTCCTATTGTAGGCAATCCATAGCCGACGTAGATTTGAGCTCAGTATACTCCAGAGGTAGCTAGAGCGTTGAGGCTCTCATTGTTGGTGAAATGGGATCTTAACAAATAAAAGAACAGTCGAACATGTCGGACAGTGAAGTCGGACATTCGTGATATCGAACACGGACGGGAGTACGGTTCGAGTACTTACCGAGATGGATAAGTATTGAAGGTAGATCCAGATCTGTGACTAATTCGTGAAGAACATGTGCGTATGTGCTTTATGCGCCGCGACAGCTGGTGAGAGCTGACGCAGGTTGCTTCCGGAAGAGATTTTTTGTACCTGCTTGTGGAGATCATTGTTGATCGACTTCTGGCAAGAATAGCAGTAGAATAAGATCTAATAGGAAGTGGTGAGACTGTTCATCCGCAGGTTGAAGCCCAGCATCACTGGCACCTGTTCCTATTGTAGGCAATCCATAGCCGACGTAGATTTGAGCTCAGTATACTCCAGAGGTAGCTAGAGCGTTGAGGCTCTCATTGTTGGTGAAATGGGATCTTAACAAATAAAAGAACAGTCGAACATGTCGGACAGTGAAGTCGGACATTCGTGATATCGAACACGGACGGGAGTACGGTTCGAGTACTTACCGAGATGGATAAGTATTGAAGGTAGATCCAGATCTGTGACTAATTCGTGAAGAACATGTGCGTATGTGCTTTATGCGCCGCGACAGCTGGTGAGAGCTGACGCAGGTTGCTTCCGGAAGAGATTTTTTGTACCTGCTTGTGGAGATCATTGTTGATCGACTTCTGGCAAGAATAGCAGTAGAATAAGATCTAATAGGAAGTGGTGAGACTGTTCATCCGCAGGTTGAAGCCCAGCATCACTGGCACCTGTTCCTATTGTAGGCAATCCATAGCCGACGTAGATTTGAGCTCAGTATACTCCAGAGGTAGCTAGAGCGTTGAGGCTCTCATTGTTGGTGAAATGGGATCTTAACAAATAAAAGAACAGTCGAACATGTCGGACAGTGAAGTCGGACATTCGTGATATCGAACACGGACGGGAGTACGGTTCGAGTACTTACCGAGATGGATAAGTATTGAAGGTAGATCCAGATCTGTGACTAATTCGTGAAGAACATGTGCGTATGTGCTTTATGCGCCGCGACAGCTGGTGAGAGCTGACGCAGGTTGCTTCCGGAAGAGATTTTTTGTACCTGCTTGTGGAGATCATTGTTGATCGACTTCTGGCAAGAATAGCAGTAGAATAAGATCTAATAGGAAGTGGTGAGACTGTTCATCCGCAGGTTGAAGCCCAGCATCACTGGCACCTGTTCCTATTGTAGGCAATCCATAGCCGACGTAGATTTGAGCTCAGTATACTCCAGAGGTAGCTAGAGCGTTGAGGCTCTCATTGTTGGTGAAATGGGATCTTAACAAATAAAAGAACAGTCGAACATGTCGGACAGTGAAGTCGGACATTCGTGATATCGAACACGGACGGGAGTACGGTTCGAGTACTTACCGAGATGGATAAGTATTGAAGGTAGATCCAGATCTGTGACTAATTCGTGAAGAACATGTGCGTATGTGCTTTATGCGCCGCGACAGCTGGTGAGAGCTGACGCAGGTTGCTTCCGGAAGAGATTTTTTGTACCTGCTTGTGGAGATCATTGTTGATCGACTTCTGGCAAGAATAGCAGTAGAATAAGATCTAATAGGAAGTGGTGAGACTGTTCATCCGCAGGTTGAAGCCCAGCATCACTGGCACCTGTTCCTATTGTAGGCAATCCATAGCCAACATAGATTCGAGCTCAGTATACTCCAGAGGTAACTAGGGCGTTGAGGCTCTCATTACAGCTATGGAGTTGATTATCTGACAAAGAAAGGGCCCAGAAGAAGAGCCTGGGCGAATCAGTAAAAAACCCTGACATGAGCAAAGAACATCGCTACACCGGAAGAACTACTACTGAGTTAATCAAACGGACAGGCGAACAGCCTCCAAAGCATGCCAACGGAAAGAAATTGTGCCTCATTTGGCACACAAAGGGTGAATGCAAGGAGCACTGTGAACGCAAGCATTCTCATTGTAAGCTGACTGACGAGGAAGCAACCGCAATGAAGGATTATGTAAATAAGAATAAGTGAGATGGAGGCCGGGACTCGTCGGATTCTTGCAGGCCATCTCAATTGGACCCACTTTCGTTACGATCTACTTTAATTGGAGGTAGTGCTAATACTATAGGTGAGCTGGTTGCGTTGGCTAATGAAACTTATTTAAAACACGGTTGGCAAGTCACTGCTCGTTTATTCCGTTCAGATGATGCTGCACCAGACATTGATAAGCTTCCGCACCCTGCCGCACCAATGCTACACCGAGTAATGAAAAATGGGGCTCCTGTGGTGGTTCATTCGGAGCCATGGAGCCAGAGCCAACTTGACATGCGAGTCGCTCGGGGCTGTCACTCATCAGCAAACGAATTCAAAGAATTTCTGATGGAGGAGTTTTTGGATTTTGGAAGGAAGGGATTTTGGATCCTACTTCCATATGACGCCATCAAGGACGAGAAAGGACTTTGCCTTTCTCCAATTGGCTGCGTACCACAAGATAACAGAAGACCGCGGATGATTGTTGATTATTCGTTCTGGGGACTCAATGACGAGACAATGAAACTTGCCCCAGAGGGAGCTATGCAATTCGGCACGGCCCCACTACGCATCCGCGAGGCACTCATGAAGGCAAACCCGGACTATGGGCCAGTATACATGTACAAGAACAACATGTCGGATGGTTTCTACCGCATCCGGCTGTCAACTACTGGCGCACTAAAGCTTGGGGTCATCTTACCGCGTTTTGAGGGACTTCCACAATTGGTTGCACTGCCCCTGGTACTTCCAATGGGTTGGACAGAGAGTCCATCATGGTTCTGTGCTTTCACGGAAACTGTTGCCAACCTGACAAATGTTGACTTGCAACAAAACAAGCGAGTGCCACCACATCCTTTGGGAAGGGCAGCAGCCATCACTGACTTTAAAGTGAGGGACACACAAGTTGTGAGAGCTACACCAAAATCTCACCAGCCACTGACTTACCAGCACCCATTGAAAAAAATGGAAGTCTTTGTGGACGATTTTGTTGGAATGGGCCAAGACCATCCAAGCAATCCTTTGACAAATCAACGAGCCGTCCTCAGCCACAACATTGACAAGGTCTTCCAACCAAATCGACCCACGGACAACCAGTGGAGAAAAGAGCCTCAGTCACAATCAAAAATGGCTAAGGGAGATGCCTCTTGGCACACAGTCAAAGAAGCCTTGGGTTGGAACTGGGGAGCGACAACAAAGACATTGCAATTGAAAGAGAAACGAGTGAGCAAGGCCCTGTCACTCCTGGGCAAGGTTTGCAAACGCATCTCCCTGAAACGATGGCAGCAGGTGTTAGGAGTCTTACGCAGCCTGCAGCCAGGAATGTCGGGCAGTGAGGGACATTTCTCCCTGCTGCAGGATGCACTGATTTGACAGGTGGATTGTAGGGTGCGGTTGACTCCTGAGGTCCGTGAGCAACTGGAAATCTTCCAAGATTTTCTTCATGGCCATGCAAAGCGCCCCACAACACTGGAAGAGCTGGTACCAGGCGTCAACTTACACGTTGGCGCTTGCGATGCGGCAAAGTCGGGAAGGGGAGGAGTATGGTTCACAGACGGTGGAGAGGCCACTGTCTGGCGCGAACCATATCAAGAAGCAGTGAAAAAAGAGGTCATTTCAGATCACAATCTGACAGGAAAACTTACCAACTCAGACTTGGAGCTGGAAGGCACCGTCCTCCATCATTTTGTTCTTGGAAAGACCGCCCAGGTGGAAGGCGAAACCACTTACACTGGCTGTGACAACACACCAGCAGTGTCGTGGCGCACAAAAGGATCTTCCACCTCTCGAAAGGCAAGAGCAAGAATATTACGGTTAGCGGCAGGATTACAGCAGGAACAAAGAGCACATCATCGCATTGGGCACTTATCTGGAACAAACAATCGAATGGCCGACAATGCTAGCCGTGTCTGACGCCGAATTTGTCTCATATTTTAATCGCACGTATCCACAGATCAACTCTTGGCAACTGTACAGGATGCCAAACGCAGTGAACTCCTTGATGACATCCGTGCTGTTGAACTCGGAATCGAACGCGGAGTCTGTCCTTCAAGAGTTGCAAAGGCACACTCTGTCTGGACCACATGGGTTGCCTTCTGCGACAGCCTCACCCTAGACCCAGGATTGTCAGCGGTCGACGATCCCTTGCTCATCATCCTCCTCTTTGGAACCAAATGGCAATGTGGAAAAATTGCCCCCAGTAAGAGACAGGTCCGGGGTCGAACGGCTGAAGATGCCATGCGCCAGGTGGGCCAGGCCTTTTCCTCATTGGGACTGCTCGATCCGAGGATGAACCAATATGCACCGGGCACAATGGACTTTCGTTGGACACGGCTGCTGAAAAGTTGGAAGAAAGAGGATCCAGCAGCACAACGGGTACGCCCATTGCCAAAGTCCTTGTTAAGGCAAGCATCAAAGCTTGCCAAAAAACCCACAAGTACGCATGCCGCAAAGGCAATGCATTGATTGATGTGGCTGGGATTTTTCTTTTTGTTATGTCCTGGCGAATTTCTGTCAAAGGCGGGAACACAATTTCCTTTCAAGTTGAAGCAAGTGTTCTTTTGTATCAACGACGCAGTTTTTTCGTGGTGACGTCATCCCCCTTCGCCTCCTGGACACGTCACTTGTGACATTCGCCGGTCTGATATTTGACAAACAAAAAAATGCGGTGCCAGACGAAAAGATCGGTTTGGGCACGTCATTTAATGGTGACAACCCCACAGCTACGCTGATTGCCATTGTCCGGCACCTTCGACAGAGTCGACACACGACTGGCGACACCCCTTTGTTCACCTACTACTCTGAGTTCGGAGTCCCTTGCAATGTCACAGATCGAATGATGACAAAATATCTGAGAGCAGTTGCTCTCTCTGTGGAAGTCGATCGACCTCCCACAATCGGTGCTCTTCAATGCACCGGGGCTACCACGCTTCTTGAAGGCAATATCCCGACTAGTCTCATCAAACTACTCGGTCAGTGGCGCTCAGATGAAGTTTTTTGGTATCTTCACACCCAGTCCGAGCCCTTGATGCAACGCTTCACCGACGTTCTTGTTGATCACGTCGGGCACTAGCGTTTTTTTTCCACCCACCACACCCTGTCAGCCCAAAAAACATCATTGAAACTCTTTTAGGCCCAATTGGAGTCTGCGAAATCTAAAGCGATTGAGAAGGATGAGCAATCACACCAAAATGCGGAATATCCCTGGTTCAAAACATCATGACCATATTGTACCGGTTCCACTAACATGTCGGATCCTCTTGACTTTGTAAAAAATGAAACTCCTAGCTTGGATCAATCTGCGTGGCTAGCATTGGAGTCGAACCCAAAAGTTTTCGATGAATTCGCCAAGAAAGTAGGCTTGGCAGATCGTTTCGAGTTCGTAGATTACTATGGACTTGGGATCCTAAAGCAACCCGCACTTGCGTTCTTATTGCTCTTTCCTTGTTCAGATAACTTGTTCGATTACCAACAGAAACAAGAAGATGCTCTACAGGAGATTCCTGACTATTTGAAACGATCGAAACACTTGTGTTTCGTAAAGCAAGTTCAGGGATTTGGAAATGCCTGTGGAACCATTGCTTGTTTGCACGTCTGCCTCAATACTCACGGGGCGATGGATGAAACGACACCATTGAGAAGCTTCCAAGAGTCGTCTAATAGTAGCACGCCTCAAGAACGCGGAGAACTGTTGAATCAACTGGATGCATTTAAGTGCGTTTCCGACACAGTAGCTGTCAGTTCATACGCCCAGACAGCGTGCCCAGATAGAGATGGCGTTGAATTAGACCATCATTTTGTTGCATTTATATAGGACGCGGAGACTGAGCGAGTAATCAAGTTGGATGGCACAAAATTTGGACCCATTGATCATGGGACATCGTCACTGGAAGACTTTGAAGAAAAGACATGGGGAGTAATCCAGCAGAATTTTCTGCGAGTGGAACCGGATTCGCTGGAGTTTTCTTTGATGGCTTTGACCTACAAGGAAGAATCATAGACTGCAGCTGACATGAGATCGTAGCACTATAGATTACACCTAATGTGTACGCATTCTTTTGAAGCATCATACCTTGCTACCTCAAAGTACTTCCTCTTCAAAATCACCTGTCATCCTTTCGAAAAGCGCCAAATTGTCCTTTTTCCCAATCTCTACGGCGGAATCACCTGATATAATTTCCTCTTCCTTGTAGTATTCTTCTTCTTCCGCCTCGCTATCGTCCTCCTCCTCGTCGTCTTTCTCTTGATGAACTTGACGAAGGAGCCTTTCAAATTTTGCTTCATTGCTGAGATTTGAGTTGTTTGATGCCGTCGATTTCTTGTTGGAGCTTGTTTTGAATTTGTTTGCTTTTAAACCCTTACAAAAGAAGTCATCATCAATTTCAACGGTCTCCTCGTCGGGATCTTCCTCTTCGAAGCCGTCATCGTCTGATGCTCCAAACATTTTATCAAACTTATTCAGATTCGAATTGGTCTTCATTTGCTTGTAATCCAAATGTTGTTTCAAATACTTGTATAATTCGGGGAGGGGCATGCGCCTTATCATCACTTCTGGATTCACATCTTGGCCTTTGTAGACAATGGGTATTAATTCTCTGCATGCTGTGGACAAGTCATCTGGCAGGGCTTCTCGACTAAACCATTTCTCGATTATCCGGTCTTCCCATTCTTCATCATCTTCGTCTATTTCATCCCGAACGTCAAACGTTTGGATACTAGTTGCCATGTGCCTAGTGGATGTCTTCAGATCCATCATGGCCGCTCGTCTTGATTTGTGCATATCTCGAAACTATTGCTTTATTGCATCGTAGTCAGCATTGCCTTTGCTGAATAGTGCTCGCCTTGACATTGAAACTGTGCGAAAAGTAGTCAAATCGCGACTAGTTTGTTGAGTATCTTCTTTGACTTCCTCATACTCGTATTCATACTCATCTAGATCTACTTCTTTTCCATGAGCTTTATGAGCAGCTGATCGAACATCAAGTGATTGCGGCCACGATGCGATGGCATGGATCCTGATTGAGAGTGTGGCTCTTCAAAGACCTCATCTATAACCTCTTCAATCACTTCTTCATCAAAATCTTCCTCCAAGACTTCTTCAATTATAATCTCAGAGGGTTCATCTTCCTTGATTGATTCTCTTTGCAAGGAACCCTGATTCTTTTCCCGCCCCCCGCCCCACAAGAATCCGCCCACCTTCTGCTTTGAAGCTGCTGTAGAGGCTAAACTGGTCCCCTTTTCTTTCAAACAAGTTGGAGTCATATCTCTGTCCTGCTGGGGTCTCTCATATGCAGCTTTCACTCGAGCAACGACGTTGTTTCTAGTGGCTCTGTCAGATCGAAGCTTTCCTTTCATCGCGAATAGATTCGCCGGACTGGTCAGGAGATGGTGTGTATATATATATCTGAATCATTGATTGGTTTTTATGCTACTTCAAGAGAGTGGAACTCCCAACTAGGTGTATGGCAATTCCGGAAGAAGCAAGATTTTAAACCATCACTTCTTCCTACAGGCAGTTTGGAAATTGCAGTTGAATTAGATGATCTGGATGGCACCTCTGTGCATCTAATGTGGCTTGAAGCGGATGAACCGGCCAAAACTTTTGGTATTCTGATGTCCCCATGCTCCAACAGGAAACCTCAACTTGTGGTTATGCAAGGGAAAGCAAAGGCATGGGCGGATCAGATCCAACCTAGTTTCTTTCACTGCTATGATGTCCTTCCTCTCCTTTGCACCACAATCCAGGAGACTTTGGAGTACCCAATGGCGCTCACCTTCTTCTCTCCACAGGAGTGGGACCAGATACTGTCCCCAGTGCTCCGGGCAGCACTGCCCAAGGCTGATATCTGCGGCAACTTTCCTCATGCTATGGTCTACACCCTCATTTCACTCCAAGGAGTGGGTGTCCCCTATCCCTACGGCCTCCAAGTCATCAAGCAGACCTGGAGTGATCTTGATTCTCTCTCCATACATCTGGAGTTTGATTCTCCCTCCCTCCAACCAATGCGCCAAGGGGACCAACTGTTAGTGGACTTGTTCATTGACTCTTTGGTTGACCAACTTACATTGAAATGACTCAACTGGTGTTGTATCTTCCTCCATGCTGTCACTCTCTCCAATATTGTCAACGCTGAAGGGACAGCAATCACTCTGAACGCATGGAAAGGAATAAGAGCAGATTAACGCGCTGACCGGTATCAATGGCCCTGTACTGCTTGTCCATCTAATCAGTGGTGGACTATGTGGCAGCAATGGATTTCTACTCACCTGACAGGCCACTCCAACCAACGCCGCCTCAGCAACCCGTTAGGCCCATGGCACTCAGCTGACTTGTCCTGGAAGTGGCAATACCCCCCCCCCCCCTCTACCAATACCCTGTTCCACAGTGAGGGTCTGATATGGATCCCATTTGAACCTACTTCCTCCACCAGTCATCAGCGCACCTTCTACTTGCCTTGCCACTTCCACCTTGATCTCCCACCTCTACCAGTGGATGCTGTCCGCACCTTGGTCTCTGTCTTCCCTAGCCGGTCTCTGATCCACAAGAGCCGGGTCCTCCTCCCCTCTACTGGCCCCCACCAACCAGCCAAATCACCTGCTTCCCCATCTTCCATCCTTGATCTTTGGCACCACTTTGGCAGTCTAGCTGAGTCAGGTTCTCACGGCTGGGTTCCAGATGACATTGCCATTGAAGGGAGTAGGATTGCCTGGTTCAGGCTCTTCTTGCCGGTACCCTCGGTGCTGTGAGCGATGGCTCTTACAAAGGTAAAGTGGGCACAGCATGCGCTCAGATTCTCAGTGAGGATCGCAGGGATATCATCTGGATCACCTGCCAAACCCCTGGAAAATTTGAGGATCAGAGATCAACATGCAGCGAATTGATTGGCCTTATGGCCTCTCTCCTGGTGCTGGAATGGATGGCTCTACTTGCCCAACTGAAGCCCTTTGCCAGCCAGCCTTTGGTTGAGATGGCCTGTGACAGCCTCATCACCTTGGATAAGTCCTTCTCCGATGCTCATCTGTCCTTGTCTGGCGCGCAGTTTGACTTGGCCTCCACCATCCCGGCCTTGCTTTGCCACCTTCCCCTCCAAGTTCATCGGCGCCATGTTAAAGGCCACCTGGACAAGCACTGGCCTTTCTCCCAACTGGACTGGTGGGAGCAGCGCAATGTTGACGTTGACTCCAAAGCACAATCCTACCGCCGCCTGCTGGAGTCTACAGGCTGTTCTGCTACCTCCAACCCTCGCTTCTTCCATGAACCTGTGTCCTTATTTGTTGATGGCGTTAAGTTGTCCCAACTGGATCAGGCTCACATCATGGAGCTGGTCTCTCTCCCTGTCCTTTGCGCATACTGGTCCTCCAAGGATCGCCTTTCTGAGCAGTCCATCCGTGAGGTCGATTGGTCATCTCTTTCATGCGCCATGAAGGCCCTCCCAGCCAATCTCCAACGCTGGACACCTAAGCATATCTCCGGTATGACAGGGGTGGGAAATTTTTTGGCCATTTGGAACTGTTCGGCAAAGAGCTCTTGCCCCAGATGCTCCTCCTGCCCTGTGGAAGATCACCTCCATGTCCCACGCTGTTCTGCTCCCACTGCAGCTGCAGAATGTTCAAAACGCCATCTGGCCTTCCGGAGCTGGATGCAGACTCAGCAGACCGCCCCTGAGATCAAAGCCTTCCTCTTTGAATACCTGGAAACAGTCCGTCAGCCTTCCTTGGGAGTCCCCACGGTCCGAGCCTGGTCTTGCCAGCCTCATCTCTTCCAAAGTGCAATCTCCTCCTAAGCCAAGCTTTGGGCCAAAGGCCTCCTTGAGGGCCTAGTGTCCCCCAACTGGAGACACCTGCAGGCCCTTCACTTCTCCTATATCGGCTCCAAGAAGTCTGCCAACCTTTGGGCCTCCCGTCTGATCCAACAACTGATCCGGATCGGGCACTACATGTGGAAAGACCGCAACCGGCTTGCACATTCTGAAGATAGCTCCTGGCACACAGCCCGCAAGTGGGAGATTGACATTGGCATCCACAAACAGTTTGCCATGGGCCTGATTGATATCCCCCCACGCTTGAAGTACCTCTTTTGTGACTCCTGCCAAACTGTCCTCAGCAAATCACTCAAAGATTGTCAACATTGGCTGCGCCTTGTCTCCCGTGAAAGAGCGATCAATTGTTGCTCTTTAGCCAGGCAACGCCAGATGATCTTCAACCTGGCGCAACCCAACATTGACTCGGCCACCCGGCGCAAGTCCATAAACAGTTAGATGTCTTGGCCATCTCTCTGCCCCTCCATGTTTCACTATCCCTCTGTCGACCACAGGACTAGGGAACTGCAGTCTGTCACATAGATGGCCGTCACATTGTTCTGGAACACTGTGCCATTGGGACACTCTCCAATTCCTTGGATCGATATACCCATGGCAGTAAGGCACAAGAACAATTGGCTTCCCACCTGCTACACAATCATGCCCACCATCACCTTCAATAACTCAAAACAAAATAAAAATATGCCGCCTTGAGTGGCAAGATCGTTTCTACATGTGCAAGGGTGCAATGTAATATCCAATACAAGCAACTTCCCTGGGATTGGATGCCTCAAACTGGTTCAACAGTACTGGGTCACCTCTGTATGGTAAATGGCCATGACAGCCGTTACGTTAATGGCAATCTAGAAACTTGAGATAGTTTTAAAACATGATGAATGCATTAGTTATATATGAGATAAAGATGATGACATGACAGGCACCTGAAGTGCGAACGGCAGACTCCAGCACAACAAGCAGCACAACAAGCAAAGAATGAATCATCAGCTTCACGCAAGCTGCAACAATACGCCAGCATTGTGGATTCGGATTCATTTTTTTTTAATGCAAGCAAAATGCAATCAATCGATGTCCTACGCATTGATAAAAGTGCGACCATCCCCCAACTTTGCGCTTGTTGGAAAGTGGTTTTAACAACTTGATTGCATCGTATTGTGATTGAATTGACATCATCCTTGAATGGTCAATCAAGGCATGAGAGGGCAGTAAAATCTACCAGTTGAGACTATTGCTGCGATTCTAGTGAAGTATACACTTCTCTGAGACTTGCGACATCTAGCCTGTGTAATTTGCTGAGTATCTGGACCTGAAGCATCAATCGGCTTGTTGATTGGGTAGAAACATAAAGGGTAAACGCAGAGGTCAATTTCATCGCAAATATACTACTGGTACATGTGTATGCAACAATCAAGGACCCAATAATCAACTTTTGTTGGGAAAAATTCAAAGACGACGACAAGCGCAGAATCCCAACTGTGGGATCCGTTGTGACAAAAAGAATCTTTATTCAGGCCAGCGTTTTGAATGAAGCTTTCTACAATCATATAAAAGATGCATGCGAAGTTCTTTTTCACATTTTTATTCTGATGAAAGAATAGAATACAATGAATGAGGACTTGATTCTGCCAATTTGGGGACAATGACTTCATTCAAAGAATTACAAGCGACACTCAAAACTGGAGACTGTTGAAAAAAAAATAATGGTCATCTAGCTAGAAGCTCTAACAATAAGTTTTTACCATGTATGTTTCTACACCTCATGTAGTGCTAGTAAATTCCGGTTTGCCAATATACTGCCACACTCTTTTTGAAGCCTAGAACTTTGTTCAACGGAGCTGTAGTGATTTGGATAGGATGTGTTAGAAAAAAGCAAAATGTGCTCTATCGTGAGTGCCTTTAGCGCTCAGAACAAACTCTCTGCAATCTAAATTTGTAATCCCCTATCCAACACTTTCACAACAATAGTTCTCCTGTGTTAGGTATGCTTTGAGTGAAATTGTTCCAATTTGATTAATGTTTGGCTTGAATTGATGATTCAATCACAAAAGTGAGTTCAACAATTTTCCCTTGGAAAATCCCTTGTTTACAGAACTCGATTCGACTTCTACAAGGATTCTGTGTTGAATGCAGTACTTTGGGACACCTTGTATTATTCCCTACTGCATCGTACACAACATCAATATCCCACTTGTATAGGGTCATTCCCTTTTTGTGTGGATATATATTGTCCGACAGACTTGCGTCCGGCATACTTGCGTTGAATCCCAACATCACGATCAAAGTTTGATCGTACATGTCACAAACTTTGTACTTGCATAGTTTCTTTTTGGAATGTAAAAACTCATATTTTGTCATATCCCAACACACTCCTGTCATTGTGACAATCACCATTGGCAGCAGTGGGACATGCTCTCATTCACTGTTTATTTTGTTTTGTACTTTCATTTGAACATACATACCTGTCTGACCTATTCCTGTGGACCAAGAATCAGATCCCTGAACTTGCAAAACTTCTCTCCTTGCAATGGCTTAGTCATGAAATCCGCAATCATATTGTCAGTTGGACAGTATTTGATCTTAACATTTCCTTTCTCAACTTGATCTGTGATATAGAAATAACGAATATTGATAGCTCAGCTTCTTTTGCCTGCGCTCTTGCGACCATTATCTTCCAGTAGAATTGCGCTTTTATTATCCTGATACAAGATGTTCTTCTCAATCGGATACCCTTGCCACTCCATGAACAACTTCGTCCATAGTATCATCGTGACAACATCGTCAACAGCAATCAGTTCCGCTTCCGTACTACTTCTGCTGTTTAGCTTTTGCTTCTTCGACATCACTTGAGCTGCACCTCCTCCAAAGGATAGAGTGCCGCCAGTATGGCTCTTGAAATCTGGATGCACCGCAAATGATGCGTCAATCATCCATTTCATGACTCGTAGTGATTCTGCGGAAAGTGTCAGGTGATACAACAATGTACAAAACAAATATTGCATCATGCAAACACACTTCTTCCAATCAGACTCTGTAGGCTCTCGAACTCTTGAGGCAAGAATAGTAATTGTTGGATGGATATCCAAACAGTTATCTTTTAGAGACATAAAGTCCCCTTGCAACAGTAGTATGGAAGATCTGACGGTACTCAGCACTGAGTAACTTCCCTTTACCAGCTTCCAGTAAAATTGTTACCAGCTGGTGTTTCCTGCTTTGAATCCTTGTTGAACTTGATAGGAAAATATTCCAACATGATCTTGACATAGTCGTCCATGCGGATCTTGAGTTTTCCTTTCACCAAGAAAGCCAAAGTCATTCCAAGATATCTGTGTATCTTTCCTCTGACGATTGTACATGCCTTGATTGAACCATATTTCATGTTCAACCACTTAGCAAATTCGTCATTTACTTTCGGATCCATGTGACTTGACATAAGATTGTCAACATGAAATCTGACAGTTTGCTGTTTTCCATCAACAACTTTGTTAGCAACACACGGGTCATACGGATTGAAAACAAATCCCTTTGCCTCCAAATCACTTTGAAACTGATTATAGAATAGGAGGCTTGATTGCAACATCCCATATATAGCACGTAGTACCCGCACATAGATTTCTCGCTTTCCGTTCTCTAAAACAACATATTCGCGATACTCTGGGGCCATGTCAAACAATATCTGGACCATCATGCCAGTGATTTTCATGTAGATTCGATCTTCTCCTTCCTTAGCTTTGGGCATATAAGTTTGAATGAAAGCTTTAGGAACGTCCATTGACATTATATCTCTACCTTCTTGTGCATCAATAACTCAAGTAGTGGTGATTGCTTCTTGCAAAGCAGTTGGACTTGCAGTGTCCTCTCGCGATGACCATTCACGAGTTCCATTGCCTTGGTATACTAGGCGACCTTTAACTGTCTTTTTGAATTGCTTCTCCACAAGTAACATCATTGCTGATTGGGCCTTTGCTCAGACGCGGTCATGCCTTTGACAAATTTGGGAGTGAAACAATCTCTCAGGAGCATTTGTCTCAATTCCTTATCCGCAGCATCCTTTCCATCATCACCAAACTTCTTCAGTCCTTGATTGATGTAATACTGTTGGATGAAGTTCAGACCTTCGTCAGTATCAAACTTGGCCTTGATCTGCATCATGCAACGAGCGATCAGAATAGCGTCGTGCTCTTCATAATCAGCTTTCATCTCATTCCCAATCTGTTGGAAACATAGATCGTGCTGTGCTTCAAGAATAGCTTTACTGTCTTTAGTACTGTGACTTCTGTCAGATAATCAACTCTGTAGCTGTAATGAGAGCCTCAACGCTCTAGCTACCTCTGGAGTTTACTGAGCTCAAATCTACGTTGGCTATGGATTGCCTACAATAGGAACAGGTGCCAGTGATGCTGGGCTTCAACCTGCGGATGAACAGTCTCACCACTTCCTATTAGATCTTATTCTACTGCTATTCTTGCCAGAAGTCGATCAACAATGATCTCCACAAGCAGGTACAAAAATCTCTTCCGGAAGCCATCTGCGTCAGCTCTCACCAGCTGTCGCGGCGTATAAAGCACATACGCACATGTTCTTCACGAACTAGTCACAGAGTAGATCTACCTTCAATACTTATCCATCTCTGTACGTACTCGAACCGTACTTCTGTCCGTGTTCGATATCACCAGTGTCCGACTTCACTGTCCGACATGTTCGACTGTTCTTTTACCTATCAAGATCCCATTTCACCAACACACTCCTGTCGTATCGACGACTCCAGTTGCGATGACGAATCCTTTTTCTTTTAATATGTAACGTGTATATATAACCCAAGAAGGTTATATCTAATCTTCCTGATCCCCTTGGATCAATGCCCGAAATTTGCGGAACTTTTCCCCTTGCAAAGGTTTTGTCATATAATCCCCCCACATGTCATCAGTTGGCATGTGTTTGATTGTAAGATTTCCTTTCTCAACCTGATC